GCCATCAATTTTAAAGGTGGACCAGAAAATGGGCCAATGTTGAGTGACAAATTTCCACAACGAACTTTTTGGGCCTGTTCTGATATGTGCGTTCTGCTAAGCAGTCTACATCCCAAACTTTGCACATCGTTTTGTGAGGTGTAGGAAAATTAGAATTTGAGATTTGTCATGTCCGTGTTGAAAATAACCCTGAAATTTTGGTTATAGACGAAATGGCGCTAAATGTGCTTCTAAAGAATTCTTAATGGATTATTAGGTCGAAAATCATTAACAGTTGACAGAAGTCATTGAAAATATTCCATTTATATGTGTAAAACCTTTGGCTCTTTCATTGTAGTAGCATTGTAACGATTGCTGAGTAGCACATGTATTGTATTTTACCATATTGTCACTTTCCCGTTCTGCAGTCATCCCATTGCCTGGGCTTGTCCCCTTTACACTGCCCCCTTTATTGTTCACTGCCACCGCTTCCTATAAATGTGTCGACACACTCGCATATTGGCACATCTTGCTCCGTAATTTTTCTTTGGGTGCTACTAACAGGCCTGTAAGGAAGCTGCTCATCAGCCAGAAGTAGTTTCCTCTTCGGTCTAGTCCATGTGTGCTTAATGGCATTTTGCTAGTTGGCGTTCACCGTCGTATTGCAACGAGCCACTGGTTCCTGTGTTTAATCAGTCTTTGTTAATCTTTTGTATTTTCTAACGGTACGTAGTACGCTTGTTGTTTACTTGTAAAGCCAGGTGTCTCAATACCAAAACGTCGAATGCAACCCTAAATAATTATCCAAAAGCGGTAATTGTGAATTAGATAATCAACCTATGTTACTTGTAGCAGTCCGTTTCTGCGCTTTTGTAGGTCAAGGCCGTTCGACTTTCTGCAACACCCTTTACAATCGAGAATGGGATGCTGACACCTACCATGAAAACAGCCCGAGAGATTGTTCGACGCGAATTCGCCTCCGCTATCAAGGCCCTATACCATTCCACAAACGCGGTCATCTAGGCCATGATTGTTTCATTTTGCCACATTGATACCTACTTTACACGATGCGCTTCGTTCTCTTTCCTTTAACACCCATATTCATTGGTGCGACATTAGATTTTGCCATGGCGTTTTTGTTTTCAATCGTCATTTGCGTTTTACTTCCGCATACCACTTCCGCGATACGCCCCATCTGTTAGTGTATTTACGAATATTAAACTGGCCTTCAGGTATATAGCGTGGGCTTATTCGCTTGGTTAAATGAGACTCCGCAAGTGGTCAAGCATTTGAAATGTTAGATGGCAGAACAAATCTGGCCTGACTGTAGCTGATGTCTTCTCAATGGATGAGAAAAACGATGTCAAAGATCGTAGCTGCGTTTCCGCCGACCTCCTCATTCGCATAACATCTTAAGAAGACGGTGAGCTAGAACTCTTGTCGAGTGTTCAAGACCGGGAATGCACCAAAAGTGGACGACTCATCATTTGTGTAACCGACTCACACCAGTGGAGCTCATGTCAATCACGTGCGCTGCTATCTTATGTTAGACCTAGGTGGCTTTGGTTGTGTTCGGGTGCGTAGTGAGTCGACGGAATGCTAGATTCTCGACAAACGGGGGCCATTCGATTCGGAGCAGAATCACCGATGATGGCCTGATTTTTGAAGCATATTTAGAGTAGATAGCTGTAAGACCTGTGTTTCTTTTCGCACGCCGACATTATTTGCTTCGCACATTGGAATTTGAAAAGCAAAAACCATTTTTAGAAAAATGGATCAACCTTAGGCCAGTTAGTAACGATTTAATGTTGACAAGGTGGTCCCTTGACTAGAAGCTCTAACTTTGCGTGTCTGGGTTAAGTTACACAAATACGTGAAATGAAGTATTGGGACGAGACTGCTCAGGAAGGTAATCGCTTGGCACTAGCTGAAGGCTGAGCAACACAAGTCATGAACACGACCAGTGAAAAGTCTTGGCAGAGCTGCGCTAAATTGACACATTAAGAAACGAACGCAATCGTTTTACGTTAAAATAAATGTGTCGGGGATATTCTTCGATTAGTGTTGTATTGAATAAAGCCTGGGCCTCAATTAAAGACGGGACGAGATGAATGAATATTCTTGTCTAAAGCGTCAGACAACGCACACTCAGCAACTTCTGGCACCGCAATGCAGGGACAAGCAGAGTGCCTAGTCAAAGTGCGTAATGTGCTGCGTACGGTATTCCTTGCCACCGTTTTGGTGGGCGAATGTAGTGATTGTTATAAATGTCCAAACCGACGTTTCTGTACAACCAAGTTAGATTGATCTGCCCATTTGGCAAATTGGCTTCATTATGCACAAGGCTTTACCGCTTAGATGTTACAACTGGCCACCTCATTTTATTTGCAATTACCGATTTGAGCAACGCCCAAAGCGAGTGGACTAAATGCGTGAGTAGCCAGAAAACTAGCCACCGAATTGGAAGTTCCCTAAAGTGTCATTTGGATTGCTCAAAACAATTCAAAATATGAACTGTTTATAAGGGAAGCACAGAAAGCTGCGGCAGGAAATGATGAGGCAAAAAGTTTATTGACTATTGTTCCAGTTAATGAACTTCTTCGAACTTAATAGAAGTTTGCTGGTGGTCTGTCCTACGTATCCTCGTATGCTGGCCTTACGAAGTGGTGATTAACTGTCGACTTCAAGAGGTAGTAAACTTTGCCAGAATACAAAAATGCTGTCTTATTCATAAGAACTAAGTAGTTAGTGCACAAAGCAAGAAGACATTGCACGGACTTGATGAAAACCACAATCAAAGGACCCTTCGTGCAACGCAGCCTTAAAAAGCCAGAAACGTTTAAACTGATAAAAAAGTCTGCATCCCATGACCTTCATGTACTCTAATTGATGTGATTAAGCAATTATCAAAGCAAGCGTTTTTAATTCATTCAGGTTTGTTATAACTCGATGTTTGACGTTCGACGGAAAGTCATCTATTATGTAAAGAGAGGGATAACCTTGAGGCGAAGACGCCGCCTTTTGTTGATTATTTCACCGAGAAGCTCGAGCCGGAAAGCGTATCTACAATGTTTATTTGCAATGACAGGTCGGTTTCAGAATCGTGACTATCCTTCAAATCAGAAGGTCGTTTATCTTGTCCCAGTCGATATCATTCATCGACTCCCGAGTCCCTTTTACTGGATTCTGAAATGTAAAAAAAAAACAGATGAAAACACTATTCAATACTAAATAGGCTCGTTGGCAAATTGTGAATTTACCACTTTAGGATCCTTCTTTGAGGAGGTAATTTGATCGCGCCCAGTCACAATTCGTCTGATTTCGTTTGCATCTCTTGTCCAACTCTTCGTGGTGTCATGTGGAGGTCCACTGTCTGAAATTTGGGAAATCACTCATAAGTTGAAAACGCGCCGAATATCTCTCAAAATAACGAACAAGATGCACACTCTAAACGAAGGTGGGGATACGGCGCAAGGATTTTTGCTGCCAATAGTGTCGGTTTTACTTGGTCCTAACCAATGCAAAGCTACTAAGGGATAGTTACAGAGATCCAGGATTCTGCCGAATTGACCTTGTGACTTAACGGACTGCGGCTAGTGATGTTGAAATTTGTACCAATTAGTGATACGAATTGGCGAGGCATTAAATGATGCTGCCGCATTTACCAAGTTTGGGGCTCCAGGATCGCACCAATGGGGAGTCTGTGGGATTCGTCATTACATCAGAGAGTAGAACTAACTAACTTACCTCGATTGCTTTGAGGTGACGAAGGTAGTGCATGATGCAGGCTTGTATACAAGTGGGAACTTCTCATAATGCCTAGGGGTTGTGACAAATGCGTCTAAAAAAGGAGAAAGTTAACTACGCATCATGTAGTCACTTTACAGACAAGCGAACCGAGGCTATCTCACGACACCTACCTTGTAACCTTATGCTCTTGAATAACAACATAGTTAATTAAGCAGTGTATTTGTAAAGGAAAATTGGACGTACCACTGGATCCACACCAAGCGCTCGTTGGGAGAAGCCGGAAGAGACGGATGATGACTTTAAGGATTTGGATTTTCGATAAGGTGAAAGGTTTAGTTTCTGTATTGGCATCTCAAGTTCAGCCAATACCTATAAGAGAGTCTATATTTTTAGGAGAAATGACTGAAAGAAAACATTGAAAATAAACTGATGACTCGATGTAACCCTCCACAATTTGAATTTACCGCCAGACAACTTTGTGAAACCTTTCAGCTTAACGTTGAATCATTATGGCATAGACAGAAATGCCAACATCCGAATTGTATTTGTACTTTGTGCCAATGAAAAAAAGATAAAATCTTGGTATATCACACTTACGGCTTCAACGCACAAAAGCACAGAACCCAACAGCCCGAATGAATAGCTAGACCCTTTTAACTTTAGATGGGATTCATGTTGAACCGATGCCTGTCTTGTAACTGGGGCGGTATACAAAAACTTTTGTAATCAAATACACCTTGGGTTTACAACGTTTCAGTGTGGATTTTTCTATTTACGAAGTGTTAAACCATTTGCATGTAAACAAAAACATATCCTGTGAAACCATCTATTATAGAAGGAGATAATTCAAACTCTATTTATTGAATTCAACAAGTGTGATCATTAGTTTAGTAGGCTAGAGTACACCTTATTTCATATTCAAATGATGGAAAAATAGAGAGACAAGTCACCAACCTCCTTGGCATAATTGTTTGCCTCGATTCGACGCATCTCAGCCAGTTGCAGTTGAAGCTGTCGCCTTAGTGCCTGTCGTGGCTTTAACGGTGACTGGCGCGTAGACTTCGAGACCACCTTTGGGCTAGGGGGACGTAGGCTGAAAACAACAAATCTTTGTTTACCACAGAAATTCACAGATGCAATTTCCGGCTTGACTAACCAAACTTGACACAAAGTGAGTCTTTAAAAACTTGTAAAGCTCCACAAAGGGACGATGATACGCAACAAATGTGCACAGTTTACGACCAAGGGTATTGTCAGGGAAATAATGTTACATCGGACGCACCTATTTAAGCACGATTTGTTAGAAGGTTGCCTTATTTGCAGAATATTTGCTTCTGCAGACTCGTCAATCGCCTACGAAAAGAGAAATTTCTTTTCTTGTATCCACTCTTTTAACATTTTTAATAAGTTTTTTTAAGTAAAAATATTGTGGTTGAAAAAAGGCGCTAATACTGTGACGACACCAATGGCTTTGAAACCAGAAAGACGTTTTCATAAATACATGTAGGAATGCAACAATTCATGTGAAATTATTTGAGGAAACTTCATTTCTGAGCACCAACAAGCAACGACAAGGGGATAAATAGAAAGACTTGATATAGTTAACTGTGTCAGCGATAATGGAGGTGCATGTCATGAACTGGTTCGAAACCACACAATTTCCTGGCCAGTTGTGAGGGACGTGTTTTTCGTTTACAAGTAGACGTACTTGAAACTGTGAGTTCCCGGCCTGTGAGATCTTCCCTGTTTGGTGTACAGAGACACATTTGTCGATGGAATCCTGGTTATTGATTAATGCATTTTCATCTGCATTCTCCTCGTTTTTTGAGCTAAGCACATTGTTCGCTTTTTCCTGAAGAAGCTTTCCAATGTTGTTATTATTCTGCAACACATATATCAGATAGGTTTGCGTTGCGAATAAGCGTATAGCATCGACTTTAAGATATTAAACTGTGGTAAGCACTAGGGTTTATCAAATGATACCGTAAATAATCGACTCTGTAGGTGATATCTATCCCGATTAATTTCATTGCCACTTTAGGATATTAAATATGCTCAAAACCCAATAAGTTGCATAAACGATAAGTTATTAAAGCAGTCTTCAATGGGTCTACTACTTCAAACAAAACACTAATAAGCCATAAAAGAGAGATTGATGCTAATTTTTTTAGAGGGAGGCAAATACTGACTTAAGGTTAAAACACTTTGGCGAGATTCTGAAATAAGATAAGCAATGATTCGTTACGCAAATCTCAAGGATCTTGAATTACCCTTCTATTGGTAGTCATTTTCTAAACCCATGGAATCGCCAGTTGTGGACTTGTGAAATACGAACAGGAAGAGAGTTTGCATGACACTAGTTAAATAGTATCGATTATAAAACTTTACATGAATCTCTACGATCAAGACACAAGAGAGTAAAGGTTGATGGAGAACCAGAGGCGTATTGTGAATAGGGCGTAAATAAGTCAAGCTCAAAACATGCTACCAAAGCAAATTACGTCAAACTGAGGAGACACAGTAAACTAGTTCTGATGTTGATGATTTTTCTTGAGTTTAAGGTTTAGTCTATGGAACCAGTGCAGTGAAATCCAAATTGATAAGGCCACTCCTTCAGCGATCAAGTATTGGCTTCTACACACGAAACATAATATTCATGCAAAATATCCATGTGAAGTTAGGATAAGTATGGTTGAGGCGAGTGTAAGCATCCACGGTAAAAAGGATAAGCGAAATCAGTCTTTCTAAGTGGGCATAGTTAAAGTAATACCATATCTAGTGCAACATACTGAAGCCATTTTATAAAGGATTCAGACTGTTTAAGCACGTAAAAAATTGCTACAACACTTGATAGATTGTCGCCAATAAAACGAAATATGGTAGCATTCTCTTGAAGATAACTTTGGGACGGGAAAACTTGCCTTAATTTCCTTAGAGATTGCAATTGTATCATATTCAAATGGCAAGGCTGTTCTGTGGCTCCGCAATTGGTGGGAGGCGCGCACCAGCTCACACTGCACTTCGACATTTTTCGACAATAGCTTTTTCACTTTGGTTGATCCAATCTTCTTTATTTTAATTTCGTTATTGACGACCATATGTTTTTTATAATCACGTTGAGTCATCGAAGAGCGTCCTGTATCTTTACCAACGGACTCTGACACCAAGTTATTTGTGGGCAGTTCTAGAGAAATTTTCAACAATTTAAGCTGGTGAAAACACGAAGACCACTCCATTCCCCCAAAACGTACGAGTAAAGGATAAGGCGTTTGATTGTCTATCATCCCTCCCACGACACCAAGTCTAATAAGGGCAGGAGGAACGGGCGTGTTTTTTGAGCTGTTTTGCTGTGCATAATGGTTGAACGCGTTCTGACAGTTAGAATCCAGATTATAGAGGCACAGCTCTTTAAGTGTTATGAGGTGTGGAATTTTTAGTATCCGGGGTTCTCGAAAGGGCGGTTGCCGATGCAGTCTTAGCAGAAAGGGTTGGTTGAATGGACCAGTATTTTGTGATTTGACTGGCTGAAATGCACTCATTTAGTATCTATGAAACAAAAAAAGCAACTTTTAAAAGTCAAAAGCAAAAGGCGTCTGAAAAAAATGATACAGACATCGGGATTAGATTGCTGGGATGTTGCAGACAAGCATGTTTCGGTGGTCAGATAACTTTATTAGGGATATCATGCAAGGGGTATGAAAGTGAACTCATGTTTCCAGTAAGCACATTAAGCAATTATTTACCGAACATCTCAGATTGACAAGATTGAAGAAATGACAAATGGGTTTCTTAATGTTGTTTCTTGTTTCATAAGAATTTAATACAAAATCAAGACAAGACAATTTATCACAGAAAAAAGAAATGTGACCAAGTAATGGAAATTTAGGAGGCACGTTTAGCCTTTACAACTGCTAAGCCAACCATATACATCGCTATATGAAGCAAAGTCAAACGTAATGACATCCAGAATTCGATAATGGTTTAAGCGGCGTATTAGACCACTAAACAATGAACGAAATGCATGTGCAGAACCTTTTGCGATAGAACTGCATTTTTCCAAACAAACAATAATATTTTGAATTAGTTTATGGAAGTAGGCTAATAGAACACACGAAATAAATAAATCGTTACTCAATCATAACGGTCCAAACTAACACAAATTCGGGGAGAATGAAGACCTCAACACCATAATTTTGGCATTTCGGCACCCGAGGATGATATACGTACACAGTTCCTTTTTAATACAAATAAATATGTTCTTTCTTAACAGCACACTTGTCTTAATACATACATGTTTCCGATAATAATTATTACTTTTTGAAACTAGTAAATAGACTTGGTTGCATTATTGGAAAGAACTCAAATCTAGTTAGCCTAAATTCAAGTTTTTTTAAAAACCATATTAATTTGTTCGAATAATGCACAGGTACTCAAAATGCATATAGAATGAAGGAAAGTGCGTCCTCATTTGAAAGTTAATGTAAATACTATCAGCCAATCAACAGACGAGGTTCTGTGCATTTCAACAAACAAAGTAAATTTTGTCACATTAAACCCATTTTGAAGGCCTGGCACCCTATAAAATATTGCTATAAAAACAACTACTTTATTACTCTAAATGATGGAAAAAACGAGTAGAATGATGAAGCTAAGCTTAAGTGAAGTTACGAATTGAAAATACACTGTCCTGTAGGTAATTACTCATGCATTAATCACACGCCCATCAGCAATCTACACTGATCAGGTTCATTAACTACAGCATATCTTTTACGGAAAGATATAAGTTACATGTTTGTATAATTAACATATGTGCTACGGAATGTCTTCATTACATTTATTCGCTGGAAGAAGAGCCAAATTAAATTGTAATAAAGTTATACCGACAATATTTTTCATAAAATTTGATAATTACATTACTTTATTTGTTCAAGTCGATCGAATCAACGGCCTTGAAGAGATGTCTGCTGTTTTTCGAAATTTGGACAAACTGATGGCAAGGCCTTCGAGGGTTTGCCATTTTTATTTATTGTTTTTAATCTAAATTTTCATACACAGAAGGTTGGTACAGTCAAGAAACCTTCGACGGCTTCTTGCAAAAAGAAGACTGCTACCAAGAAATCAAAGGCGATAGCGTCCGCTAAATCAAATTTGCCAAAATTGATAAGTGGTGACGTTGAATTAGCTTCTCAGCCCAACACTCATGATGCCGGCGCAAAAATTCCTCCATATGAGTGGTGCAAAACGTATCCCGGGTCTGTCTGCAGTCTAGTAGATTCTGCACTTAAGGAATCTGGCACCTGGAATATGAAAATTGTGTCCTGGAACATAAACGGACTTCGGGCTTGGATCAAAGTATTTTTTTCTTTTAACGTTGATGGGGATTGGTGTAGAACGGTGGTTTAGCTTATGTTACCGAAGAAGCCCCAGACGTCATGGGTATTCAAGAAATCAAATGCGCTGGGAAAGATATCCCACCTGCTGCCAGCGCTGCAGGATATATTCCGTATTGGTATTCTGCCCAGAAGCCAGGCTACTCAGGAACTGGTCTTTACAGCAAAGTTAAACCAATCAAGGTGACTTATGGCCTTGGAAAACCCAAGCACGATAATGAAGGTCGTATTATAACGGCAGAATACGACCAATTCTTTCTCCTTAATGCATGTGCGTTTGTCTCTGTCATTTTAATTTATATTAGATGTACCAAACTCCGGTCAAGGCTTGGTCCGCCTCGACTATAGGACGAAGGAATGGAACGAAGAACTTTGCAGTTACATAAAAGCGCTTGACGGGACGAAGCCCGTCATCTTGATCGGTGATCTCAACGTTTCGCACCAGGAAATCGGTAAGTGTTAACATGTCGCTCTTTCTTACACTTAAATGAATTTCAATTGTTCATGTTTATTAGATCTCGCAAACCCCGCTGGGAACCATAGAAGCGCCGGTTTTACCGACGAGGAACGCCAGGGTTTCTCCGAGATGCTAGAGAACTGTGATATGGTGGATACATACCGACACCTCTATCCTGACCGCTCAAAGGCGTATACGTACTGGAGTGCTCGTCACAATGCACGTAAATCTAACTCGGGGTGGTAGGTTCATTGTTATCGTTATATAAACGGCAAGCATGAAGATTGTTAGTTTCACATGTACCATTTTTCCGCAGTCGTAAGTATTGTTATGTAGCGATTATTAATGTATATGTGGCGCAGTTAGGATCTGAATTTCTATTTCGCATTCCTCAGATAGAGCTAGGCTATAAAAAGTCTTTTATTTTCCAGGCGTTTGGATTATTTTGTCGTCTCGCGCCGCTTTCTTCCCCACGTGGTTGACCAGGAGATCCGCTGCGGAGTTCTCGGTAGCGATCACTGCCCTTTGGTTTTGTATTTAAAGTTGTAAATGACATATTTACTGTGCATTTTTACAGATACCCAATATAAGACTTCATTTGTAGATTTTGTGTTGTATTTGTTTTCGATGACGAAATCAGTGGCGTACGGCGATGCCTCGGGGTATTTGTGGGAGTATAACGCTCATGGAGCAAAGGTTTCACTACTCAAATTTCATGGCATGGTGGCCCTAATGCAGAGGTTTTTTACATTTGCTTTGTTGAAATAAGAAACTGCTTAGGTGGAAATGCCAATTCTAAGTACGTAACTTGATTGTGCAACGGCTTGCTAGGCACCGTTCAATCTACAAAGTGGTGAGGTAAATGGTTCAGGTTGAAGTGTCAACGATTTGTTCATCCATTCCGCTCATTCTAATTTTGGGGTTTAAAGCTGTGATGTCATCATAACCACCATGGTTTTTCCCTTGTTTTGACATGTTTCACCATGGACAGCAAGCGAAATTACTTGACGTCTTTGTTATGGTATTCAGTAAATTAGCGCAGCTGGGGTTAACCACTAACAACCAGAGTGCTTGAAGTGCATGATGATGCTCCTGTGAAAACTGGAGAAGTTTTATTAACTCAATGCTTGAGTCGAAATGCACTGGGGCAAGGTGTAGGGCCATTCCCAAATCTTCATAGGTTTTGCTCGGCTTTACCGACCCTGATAACGCAACATTTGCAGTATTTCAAGCCAGCCACAGCACCATAGTATCGCGGAGGACGTCGTTCTTCAGAGGTCGCATTCTGGAGGAGTCTACTTTCAGGTAAAATCCCAGACACTTGCTCCAAAAAGGGGTCTCTGCGTAGGTGCCAAGTCTCCTCAAATGAACTCGTGTGCAACACGATTGACCTCGTTAGGGGATAAATGTCGTGACGCAAATGTAGAGAATGAGTGAAGGCACTCCACTGAATACAACTCCAGCGGCAGAATACTGTGGGATTCCGTTTTCCTGGGTCCCAGTCTAATCCTATAATTCTGTTGCGGCTACTACGTCAAAATCGGACCCTACTTTAACAGGAATTCGGCCTTTTTGGCGGATTTCCACTACAACTATGGTCGGTGTGAAAAGGACACGCAGTGTGGAGAACTAGGTGATTGAGCCTTCAGCAGTATGTTTTTGCTTACCGTCGAAGAGAACACTTTGGACAACATTTCGCTTCCAGAATGCAGGCAACACTGCTTTTAACCACGCTTGACTTCCACAGCCTGACTCGCACCTTGACAGTTAGTCGAACGAGCCGCACACTGTGACCGCTAGCGACCTAAGTCGAACACTGGAGGCGTTTGGCGAAACAAGATGGCAGCGCAAGTGATTGACATGAGCTCCACTGGTGTGAGTCGGTTACACAAATGATGAGTCGTCCACTTTTGGTGCACTCCCGGTCTTGAACACTCGACAAGAGTTCTAGCTCATCGTCTTCTTAAGATGTTATGCGAATGAGGTCGGCGAAAACGCAGCTACGACCTTTGACATCGTTTTTCTCATCCATTGAGAAGACATCAGCTACAGTCAGGCCAGAATTGTTCTGCCATCTAACATTTCAAATGCTCGACCACTTGCGGAGTTTCATTTAACTAGGCGATTACACACTTGCTTCAAAAAGTGAAGTAAATTTGATGAGTACAAAAAGGAATTTAGTAATGAGCGGGGTGAGCTCATGTGTAGAATATTGTACATCCAGAATAGATTAGCTCAGCGATAATAAAAATTTGTTGTAGCGTTAGTTAGTATTTTTTAGGTACATGTGTACAGTCCGAAGATAACCAAGCGCAGAAGTGGTACTTTGTACAAGCGTGAGGGAGATGGGATTGGCTTCGGATCGGTGGTGGGAGCGGGACGTGAGAGCTCAGCGTGAGATGACGAGGTTCTGTACAATTGAGAGACAAGGGTGCAGGGCGAGACTAAGCATTACTTGATAGCGGCAGAGTCTGCGGCGATCGCGGCGACGGGCTCCCGGCTTGTCACAACAGCGTGGCCTGACTTGCCGCAGGGCATGACAGTTGTTTTGGTCCATAGGTTGCGAGAAGGGTCGTAAACCTCAACACTAGATAGGAACTCATTGCCGTCGTATCCACCTAGGTGAAAAACAGGTCGTTGTGTAAATGCGGTACTGATTGCTTAACCTTTCGGGATTGTATCAATTCTTCTCTACTAAACAACATTCAGTAAGTTGGAAAACGGCGGATTTGTCTCATATCTAGGAAAAAGCAATAATTTACTTCAGAAATTGAGGCTAAAAACATTAAATCGGGAGGCTTTACACTGGAATGTCTCGAGGAAAATGCTAAAGTCGAGCTTCCGTTATATTCAGGAAGATTTTACGTTGCTGCTGAGTGATTAACACCACGCCTGGTCTACTTAATACCATAATACACAGAAATTCTGCATAGTTTAACAGTATGCGAGGAAAAAATAACATCGAGTATCACCTAAACCGTCTTTGCTGCAATTGACCCGGTTAATGTACTTCGAAGGCTTACCGAAAACCCAGATGTTTCCATCCAACACGGAGGCAGCGAGGGCTGAACGGGGGTGCAACATTGAGGCCATGTATTCCCAGATGTTCTGCTCTGTATCAAAGCGTTCCACACTCCTAAGTTGACTGCGCGAGTCGTAGCCGCCAACAGCGTAGATGTACTGACCAATGGCCACAACGCCTAGAAATCAAATCCTCGTTACTTAATCTATTGCAGTAGCACGCTAGTACCAACAAGTGCCACAACAGTTAATGTCTGCATCTACCGATCGGAATATGTAAATCCATTTGAACTAAGTGACACACAATAATCTTATATCAATAACATGCCTTCCGCGTTGGCCTTATTGGCACATTCTGGGACCCGATATCTTTGTGCCTTCTCCTTCAGATCGCATTTTACAATAAAAACATCATGACACGCTTTACAAAGGGGTGGCGTGACCAACAATCAAATGAAGACTAAACGTCCAAGCACATTTCTTTGTCTGTCGATAAGTGACATGTACCCCGCAGGAAGATACAACACATGTATAGGTTGCCCCAAATAAGTGCAATTAAAGTTAAGAATATTAACGCAGTTGGTGAGGAAAAGAAGTCGAATTTGACTGAGGAAAGCGACTACGCGGACTTTTTTGTGATTTGAGATGAGCTACGACATCAGCGTCAAAAATGAGAAGGGGTAGCCGATGAGAGGAAACAAACGCCATCATGACTACTAAAGTTAAAATACACCACTGTAATGACCAGAAATTCTGCCTTAGTTGAGGTCCCAGCAAATCGCAGCGGTTCTAATCAAGGTAATGAAGCGATTTCAACAGATTCCAGTACCACGGTTGAGATTGTACTGAGGACGTTAAGAAAGTAAACACTAGATATGTGAACAACAGGTTTTCAGACAGCTTTCACGCCTTAGCGGAGCTCTTAGGGCGAAATGTGCAAATTCTTAGCGAGGTGATGAAAAGAGGGATCAGTGTTGTTAAGGTAGCTAAATACATGCGGAAAGCAGAGTGTGACAAACGTTGCCCACGAGTAGAGCTAAAGGAGCTGCAATTGAGCGTGAAGTGACCACTGCGGGATCAAGTATGGCTCGTCTTTATTTCTGGACTGACTTTTACCCTACAAAACGGGCGACGTGGAGCACTATAAAATCGGCAGAGGTCATCCACCAACAACCATATTGCCTCTTTCCACAATACAAGTCTTGTTAATTAAAAACCGTACAGCGGCGCAAACTACTAAGGGCTACTTCAGATTTCCCAGGTCAATAAAGAAACAGCTTTGTAGAGCAAGTAACAAGAAAAACAAGTAGCGAACGATTGGGCATTTTTTGACACCGACTTTTCCAACAGCAGTCCACAACCACAGCACGTTTGAATGCGCACAGTGGAATACCAGTGAATTACATATAAATGCTGACACCAGAAATGTGCGGTAGTTCTAAGGGAGAAGTCACACTAAGAATGCTAGAAGGCAATTGCCCGACTGTTAGCGCGTCTTAGCGTGTATCTTAGTCAGAGGTGGGAGTGGTTGCAGTTGGCGCAGACACTGCGGCAGCCCCCTAGTGTCCCGAGGCGCGCTAGTCCGGCTGGAGTGTGACAGGACGGAGAGTTGCTGCGTCACCACATGGGTGTGTGCGCATTAGCCAAAGAGGCGAACTACAAAGCCATTAGAAGTAGCACTCATCCAGTCTGTGACATGGACTACTTTATGTGAGGCTTCTGGCCCCTGACGGCCCGTCTGGAATGCCTCCAGGGCAGAAAGTAGGCGGCGGAAGGAAATGACCAAATTTCGGCACATCAAAGGTAAAAGTCCAGACACCTAGCACATTAATATCATCAACACCGCCGGGGCCGGCGCCGCCGTCGTCTACAGACAAGCGCCAATATTGATCACAGACACGTCAACGCACAACGCCACCGCCAACACGACATATCGCGGTGGCGCCGCCCCAATCCTGGATACACGGACACGCACGCACACACACACCCCAATTAATTACAGCGATGTGCGTGCGAGTGCACACGCGCACCGCTGAGGCGCGACAGCGATGCACAAGCGGCGTACCCGTGTGCTATTAATAGCTCCCACTGGCCGAGAAAGCGGACTTGACCGCGAACAATTAGGCGCGAATTCGAGCCGGCGGCCTGTCACCCTGACTGCGCATTCACTAGTTTTCGGTCTCGGCCGGAGGAGGAGGAGGAGGATGCACATCCTGCAAATCTTCGGGCAGCACAGACCACTGTGTGTAGTCGGTTGAGGTAAAATCATATCGGACACGCCACAACGTTATGCGTTGAACCAACCAATTACCTCAGTCACTGGGTTTGAAGCCAACATCAGGAAGATTCAGTTATCAAGGCAGTTTTCCATGTTGACAACATTCGGCCGCAACGAGCGTTCCAGCACACAACGGCAAACTCATTTCTTGTAATGCGATCAATGAATTATGAGTCAATTAGAGATCCATATAGTCAAGAGCTCGGCATTAACCTCAGAGGTTTGACTTAAGTTGGTTCACATACACAGACCACCATTTATGGAAGAACCAATAAACAAAATCACGAAAAAATGGCGTCCTCCAAAACCCGAACGAAAAACGCTTCTTGACAGGGTTTTATGTGCATATTTTTGTGGTAATTGTATAAATATGAACGGATTGCATGGCGTGACCTTGCTGGTTTAGGGGAAAAGGCGGGCCTACAAGGCTAATGCCTTGATGCTGAGAAAGTCTCCAATGAGAAAACGCCTGAGACCTGCGAGTCATTGCCCCCCACAGGATCGACAGGTAGTTAGACCGGTGTTTATTTGTCGTAGGAATGCTTGAGAGGCCCACAAAATAAAGTTGACGCCACACTGCCAAAACCGGATCCAAAACTGCGTTAGTGTGGTTTACTCATTTTTACAAATAACGTTGACACGTCAGCGCGCGTGCGCAGGTTACCCAATCGTTCTTAGGACGGGCGCGGATGGACACAAAAAGATCAACATAACTCGATTGTTGGTCTAAATTAAGAGGTGGATTGGCATACCAAGTTATCGAACCCACGTTACAACTACGAACAAGGTTCGAGCAAGAGCGGAGGGCGTTTTCAAGGAAGAGGACCAGTACTCCTTAATGTGGCCTCCCGGATGGCAGCTGTTGACATTTTGATGAGCGACAAGGTTTTCTAACACTTCAAGCAAAATGTGACCGGGATTATGATTATACTTGCATCAACCGTTGGTCTTAAATTTCAAAATAACTACACAATGAACGGTCCAGAGATAAAGCACGCGCGTGCACACCAAGAAATAGTTATGAAGTATACTCCTTGGACAAATATTTCTCATGCTGACGAATTCGGTTGAGGGCGTTTGATAGTGGCGAAGAGAGCCCAGCCCAGTTGAATGTGTGGTGCTGGTGCCAGAGCGGTACGTACACGCCCGTGATAGCGGTGTCAGCACGCCCGACTTCGGGGGAGGGTGATGGGACAACAGCAAGACAGCACAAGCGCCCGCGAAAACTCGGGTGTGATAAAGGGGGGCGGGGAGTTGGCGTTAACCCCACCCCTCGGATTAAACCTCAGATTTGGAATGTTCGCACCTGACCACGTTCCGATCGTTAAGGTGATATTTTCGACATAAGGAAATAAGTGGACCATTTAATAAGAATGGTTGTACAATTCACTTAAATGACGTGTGTGTGTGTACACTACCGCAGATTTTCAAATCACCCTGAAAATTGCAAGTGTCGACAAAAATACAGCGTCCTTCGAGTCAAATCTACGCAAATAAGGCGCATTTAGTTTAAGAAAAGAAGCGAATGCTGAGCACAGTATTGCTGCGACCGCAACAGAAGCCAAATCGGAATACAACTGGCTGAAAGGGGAATGAGAGTGGTATTCACCGTAGTCTCCTACTTATCGTCAATTCAGGTACCGACTTTAGGAACAATGTGTTCTGTCTACCAACCAACACTGACAGAATGAGGCGTGTTTAGGGCCGAAAACCAAATTGCTTTACACAGCCCCATTTCTGCCGCTCCGATCGCAACGCAAACCCCAAGGATATTTTCAAACGCCTCCAGCATTTGTTATTGCAGCAACACGAGGGATATAATTAGGAGTGGAGGTGGCGGGGGGCGGGGGGTTGACGACCAGACAAGCCAAATCAGCGGGACAGCACACGCACGCGCGCACTCCCCGGGACGAGGGCCTGCTCTCCGTCTCCCCACCGTGGACTTAACAGTCACCATTCCTGGTGGTGGCAGAGTGTGGCGTGGGAAAGCAAAAATGTGTTCTTGCCGCGCGTCTAGACAAAAGCTGCCTCACTGGGGCAAAAAGCTAGCTGGAGGGAAATTAGTTGTCTGGATAAGCGCGTCTGGGTGGGATAACGATGCAAATACCACCAACATGATTGGAGGCTAGGTTCGTTGCCACGCGACCGACTGTCCTGGGGATGCCAAAATGGCAGACTAGGCAATTAGGGCTTACCAGCACCAGACCGAGGGCGATTGAGAGGAGCCACTTCCACCCAGGCGTCTGTCTCGGGATCGTAGCGCTCCACACTCGACAGACGCTTCTCGCCATCGAAGCCTCCGACAGCGTAGAGGAGCCTAAAGACAAAAGCTCTCTTGCAAAGCAACTTTAAAAACGTGTTTAAAGGATTAATCGTGTGAACATAGCTAGGAGAAAGGAATTTCAGCGACATGGATAACCGCGGGAGCATCTTAATTTCTAGATGGCACCAAAGCACCAGCACTAGGGTAGTTTGGATATTTTCGTGTCTACAAAGGCACGAAAAGACACTTTGACGTCAAGTGGTTGAAACGCCCACTTTGGTGTGAATTAGAATTCAGAGGCCGGGTTTATTCCACCAAAAAATACTTTCGCTACGCACAATATCAGTGAACTAGCACAATAACGCCAGCAGACGAAAACAAACTCACATCTAACAAGTTGTTATTGCTTATAAAAATGTGGTGCTCTTTGAAACAATAATCGAAATAATGTTCTAGTAAATACACGTGTGTGCGAAGCACCGAATTAACTCTAACACAACTAGTAAGGACTGAGAAATGTTGGAACGTAGTGGTAACATCTTGCACCACTAGAGGGGTAAAAGTTCTAACACTGCCGGTACCTTAAACACTAACAAAACACTGATACAAATCTTGATGGTTAGCCGGGAATTACATGCACAGGGAATGGAACAAACCTGTTCACGACGGCCACGCCAAGGCCTATTCGAGGGTAATGCATCGGTGCGATGGGAATCCAGAGGTCATCGTCTACATCATACCTAAAATTTTAGGAAAATGAGAAAAGGTGATAAGATTCTTAATATACATAGATAGTATGCCAAAATGCATTAACCCAAAGGCGACAGTTGTTATTATCAACCTCACAACGTAGCTAGAAATACTAATGGAACGAACAGTGTTTCAAAATCGACTTTGACCTGAGAAGGATCGCTCAGATAGTAACGCAGCCGACTACGAGGATAGGAAGGCCGTTAAAGATGTGCTACTCGCCCCCGGGACCATGTCCATTCGGTGCGTCAAAAGGAAAACGTGGTAGAAATAAGACAAACAATGAAGAGCAGCGGGTGTGATGTATGAGGGCAAAATAAAATGCCGCCTCAAGTCAGTCTACGGAATCACATAGCTTCCCTTGAAAGGGCTTGTTAACCGCAGAGGAGCCTTGTTTGCTTCCACGTGTACTGGGTGTCTGTGGCGCTAAGGCATGCAAAAATTTGGACCCAAAGGCATTGAGGGATGGGGAATTAATGATTTTGAGAAAGGGTCAGCGTACTCTCGCTCCTAAACGATACAGCTACATTCTTCAGGAGTTCGCCCTGTTTTACTAAACGGGCAATCAAAACGATTGGTTACTCACTTAGATTGTCTCAAGACTCAATTAATTACTTTGAAATGTCGCAATCCCAAACGTACCAAGCAACTTGACAAAACAGGTAGATGGGACCGCAACAATTATTTCACTTTGAATAGCTCAATGGGACAGAGCGGAGCCACACAGCTTCTAACACGACGCCAAATCTACGAGTTTTTTGGTGAGGAGCAGTTTGGGTATTGACCCAAGTTGGTGCGAAAATAGACTTTGCCTTGGTACCAACCTGATGAACTTAATAGCGAGTTCAACCAAAAAAACCGGAGGCGTCACTTGCGAGACGTATCGTAAACTTCACCATTGGGGTTTATCATTTGGCTCGCCATAGTTGAATGGGAAACTTAAGCACCGATTGGCTATACATAGCAGTAGGTTAAATATTTTGGAATTCTTACAATTCTTCAATAGACCCAAACCGGTGCACAGGTCGTAGCCCCGACATGGAACAACTGATAAGGCTAATATGAGGCACCAACAAAGTATTTCACTAAGTATGAGAAGGACAATAAACAGACGGCCTCTAGGACTTAGGGGAATCGGTGGCAAATGAAACGAGGCTGGGAACAGGGAAAGTATGTGAGCACTAATGTCTTAAGGCAGCCGAGAGTAATTAATTCACATGAAAGTCTGTTTTCGCGAAAAGAAAAGTGACAGAGTTGAAGCATAGAGGTTTTTTGAGAGGGCGTTTAGTTAACACTAAGGTGATCATAATTTGACATTGCTCAAGCATTAGCATGACATTGCTAGGAGCTGATCTTTTGCCTACGATGAACACCTAAAAAGGCGTGTGGTAATCACAAACTGGGAAGATGAAGGTTTGTGATAAAAGATTGAATACATCAGATGTGCGGTTTAAGTAAAAATACACGATAAAAGCAATAGCACAGGAACCGATACCGATAGCAGAGTTGGGGATTTCAATGAAGCGTTAACTACACTAAGTATAACGGGACTCACTTTTCGGCAGTCTTGTGGTGCATCGTATTGGTGAGACCTCCGATGGCGTAAATCATGTCATCCACGACGCCGACAGCAACACGGTTTCGGGGAACGGACATTGGAGCGCAGGTGCGCCACTTGTTGGTCGTGGGGTCGTAACAGTCCATGTGGGGTGCATCCACGTTGTTCTGCTCGTTGTTATTCCTCCCACCAACCAGGTACACGCAACCGCGCACCGAACAAGCCGCCAGACCACTTCTGGGACTCGGAAGGTCGGGCAGACGATGCCAAGTATCTGTCGCCCGATTGTACGCCTCGAAGTTACTAAGGGAGTATCGCAGATATCCACCAGCGGAGTAGATGGTCTAAAAAGAGCATTAGCAAAAACTCGAGTGAGTGTTTTAGGTTAACACTTGGGTGAATTTGCAGCGAAGATGTAGATGGGTTAAATCGTTGACGCATTTGCAAACAAGGTCTAACAGTAAATTTTTTTTCCGTAAAAAGGTTTTCACACCAACCCCGAAAAGTCACAATCACAACTGCTCCCTTAATGAATTCCTGCCTTGGAAATCTGCAGGCAAAGAGATGCTAATGCTTGGAAATGGGTTGCGATTTCATTGACACCGACTGATAAGGGATCTAAGGTGGCAAGTAAAACTGCACCAGATCACGTTATGAACAATGCAGCAACGCTTTGTTCTGGGGCGCCAGATTCGCTCCTGCGGTCTATACAAATCGATGGATGAAACGACAGTGTCTGATTTCAACCAACCCTGAAAGTAGGATCTAATTTCACAAAGTACGTAGTTGGGAAATGTCGAATGACTTTAGTCGGAAATTAAGACTAACTGGAGGACAATATTGCTCGGGTAAAAAAATCATTCCAAATTCAACGCATCGTTTAAAACGTCCAGACACGAATATGCACGAGACTTGGATGGGACGTAGATTAAGAAACCCAGGGAGGGCTACCAGTGATAGAGTGGATTGACGAGTGAATGAGGTAAGACTAAAAGAAGACGTCAGTTGTGAGGAAATAGAAAAAAACATGGATACGCCGAAGAAATTAACCCGAGGCAAGAAGGTATACGCGAAGAATATGAGAATGGAACACTCATGTAGGGACTGCCAGGAAACAATGAAAATAAACAAAATTTCAGGAGAAACTGAATCGATAAAGAAAAGGGGGCAGCAAAGTTCAAATGGAAACCTCGAGTCCGACTACCAGATGAGTCACAAGCGGAAGCAGCGGACTGAGTTTCATAAAGCGACATCGGTATTATTATTCTTGATGTACAGTCTGAAGGGAGCATTTTCCGTTGAAGTATAAGGAACTTGATTACAAACAGGAAGTTTTAGCTCCACCAGTAAATAAGTTGAACCTAGAACCAGATGCGGAAATCGACTTTTGGCGTCAAAGTTAACACAATAGACAATTGATAAACCGCCAACAAGAAAAGTCCGCGTGACATTTTGGTTGGCACGATTACCTTACACGAGGTGCCTCCTGTGTTAATCAATGACGCTCCTGACCCAACACCCGAACTGGTTTTTTGGTTTCAGTTGAGCCGCTATTTAAATACTACGATCGCAGTGCACCCCAAAATCGCCAGACAATTTTGTCCACTACACTCACGCGACAAAATCAACAGGCCCCATGGAAAAAAGTGGAGCCAATGTTGATTTGAAGACACGAATTAAATTAACAGGCGAAGCGCCGGACAATGATTTCGACTACAGCGTGCAAATAAAATCTGGAAAGAGCAACGATGACTCGCATTTTAGAAAATGATGGCGATGAGGCAGCTGAAGACCTCACTAAGCAATTTGATTTAAAAAGTGAGAAAAGCAGCAAGTTGTTTTCTAGAGCTAAAGTGTTTCGTTTCGGAAACGAGGTAGTGATGTTGCCATTGGTGCGTGAAGAAAAGAGACAACAGGAATGCCTGTCGTGCTCTTAAACACCCACGCTCACAGATTAACGAGGTGTATGAGGAAGACAGGGAATTATTGACAGTGGTTAAGCTGGCTTCGTGGCTGCGTCTGTTTTATGCCAAAGCAGCATGAGAAAGAAATGACAGCCTAACAGAATGTCAAGATATTGGGGGCTTGTCCGATTTGTACAGGGTCAATCCAGGGTTCGGGTAATCTTAAATCGGTTTCCGTAAACAAACAAAAATAAAGAAACTCAGCATTAAAGATCTATATGAAAGACCACCAGTGAAATCACATATACCCCAGTGTGTTGTAATTTCCTAAATGTCGGATAAAAGCGACCAGCAAACGATAAAACTATAGGTGCCTATCCTTGGCCACATATTACAGGACCTGATTGTGTCAACCTCCCAAGGCATGTTATGAATTAATTTTTTAAATAATTGAGGCTTAAGATGTGATGAACGTCTTCCAAAATAGCTAACATAGTATTACATGCGGACACAAACCACTGCGAATTCTCAGCAACGTCCATCCATGATAAACCAAAGGACATGTGTTGATTTTGGAAGAATCGGACTTCCCCCAATTTGAGCAGAGGTCTAAGTGAACAGCTTGACACTCAGACACGATGTGCCGGTACAGTGTAAATGACTGATTAATCGCTAGCAATTTAAGCTTAAGGTGTCTGGGAGTAGCTGCGACAGTTGCGACGAATCTGGGGATCTTATCGCAGACGACTGACTAACTGCACGATTTTTCGGAGGGAGTCGGTTTTGATTCAAAGCAAAGTGAGTTAGGGCAGATAAAAAATGACTTCTGAACTTGGATACAGACCACCGTGCAATCAAATCACGACGACAAGCCACGAAGCCCGACCCAACCGGAAGCCCATTTAGTGAGGGCTCAAAAGCAGGTACATCGATGAAAGCCAGTCGAACAAGTGACCAAATCGGAGTCAAGATAGACCTCTCCAAAACGTCGGAGCTTTAAATCACGTCGATTTCTAAAAATTGCAGTTAAGTGGTTGTTATTTCAACTTGAGGTATTGACTCAATGAAAGCACATAATATACTAGGTCAGCACACATTGGAATTAGCTATCGAGAAGGCCAACATGCCTGTGGCCGAGGCAGTAGGAATTAACTAGATCCCCAAATTAACTAGCGGTCGTCATGGAAGGCAGATTTATCACCGTCAGAAGAACTGATAAATCACCACGCCTTCCTCCTTTCCTGCTTTTTGCTAAAAAAACTTACTCTCTAATGTGCAGTTTCTTTACCTTGATGTCAGCAACCAAAAAACCGGTTGAGGAAAGTACTGCAGCGATGTGCTAACAAGATATCACAGGACAGTGGTGAAATCGGCGTTTCTGCTACTCCGCTGTGAATCAGGCTGCAGCAAACGGAACCCAGGAATTCAGTGTACTTCAGCACCAATGGGCAAACAGTATGGCTTGGAATAAACACACTTACACACCAAGAAACCACTGAACAAGACAGAGTCCCGAAAAATCGGCCACTGACAAAATTTACATGTTGTTGAAATTACATGTCATCCAAGAGCCATAACAGGAAAACCGAACTCCTGAGAACATCTTGGACGGAAAGCACACGGTGTCTCCCGCCTGACGAGATCAAACAGCGGGCTGAATGTGTTGGAAAGGCGTCGTAATCGGCGTCCCCTCAAAAGACTACTACCAACGGCACAAACGATTCAACAGACTTAAGTTATTACAAATTATAACCCAGGAAGATAAGTAAAATCTGACTAATTCAAACCAAAACTACGACTATAGCAGTCTGTATTGGAATAGGCAACTTAACAATAAGGGCTTATGGAATATGGCGTATTTCAATATTACTTAATTCGAAGAAACAAGACTACAAGTCAAACGGTAAAGCGCAGTTTTCTTTGACGATTTTAAAATAAGGCTGCAAATGGTGTGTAGGGTCCGAACACAAATCCTATTCTATACATTAAGACGTTGTAAGACGTTGACCGTGAAACAGGCGGTCCGCATTTTAACTAACGTACTTTAAATCAATTTCACAAGATAACAAAGGCAAATAAATTTTAAGCTGACCAGATTTAAATTCTAAGGATTCGGCGTTTGAGGAATAAATTAGAGGCCGAAATATTTCGAAAAAGTATAATACCATCGAAGAAAAGCACCCCGTTTAAATACCAAAAAGTAATGGGTTGCATGTTAACCCAGCCCGCTAAGGACTTCTCGATTAACTTCTCCAGTCACCGACAGGCTAGGTATTTGATCAGTACATAAAACTACATAAGGTAATTTGCGAAGCAATTAAGAAACCTTGATAGGGTCTGCACTAAAATTTAGGGAGCTTCACTCTTAGTCCAAACTGAGTAAAGACACTAATTAATGCTAATGAACAATGTGATTTCCTGCTACCCACAGCAAATGCAGCTATTAATACACACATCATCAATTAACTCAAACAGACTACGCATTGGAATCACATGTAGGGATAATTGAACCACATGATAAATCAACATCAAACACACGAAATAGGTTGGAGCTTAGCCCTGTTTAGACTACAGTTTTGACGAGGAACGGGCGATTTCGTGCTTCTAGCCGTGGCATGCAGACATGCGCAAGAGAGAAGCGTTCTCGCCAAATGGCGCTTTTAGTGATGATGCGGAAAACGTGAAAAAAAGGCCTGTGTGAAATAACAAGCCGCCAGAACAGCCACCGCAGTTTTGGCACTGCTTTTTTCAATCACTTAGAAAAAGGTTATGGGGGCATTGAATCTGGCAAGATATCAAGGATCTGGAAACAGCAAAAAAACAACTAACGTTCACTCATCCGTATTTCTTCAGCCAAGCACGAGACCCAACAGGCTCAGTTCAATGAGAATGGGCAATAATTCGATCGGGACGGCGACAACTTTTCAACAGCGAATTTACGTTGTGTTCAGACGGGATCGAGCACATAAGAACCGATTTCTCGTCAATTGTCCAAGTACTTAAACCCACATCAGAAACGTAAGGCTGGCTACACTTGAAGTGCAACTGATGTGCCACTACCCAATGGATTATGCCGTCTTAAATTACAAGTAAAAACTTTAGCGAAATACTCCACACGAGAATTTTCGACGGCCCAGATTACAGATTGGTTGAGACTGAAATTGGCTAGGTTTCGGTGTTGGGAAGATTCAACAATCCTGTAGGATAGCTTACGCCAAAAATGATTGCATGAGATTTGATGTTTTGGAGTTGCCACCCGCAAATTTGCAAGAAGGTCAAATTGTGCATAGGTATCGTAAAAAAAAACTTTAGAGAAGACGCGGAGTAGTACCCAGTATTCTCGTTACCTTAGGTGAAGGCGAAAATGCGAATCGACATTCTAAAATCCAAAAATTTCATTGATAGTTGAAAAAGCAAGCCCATCCGGGTTAATTGCATAAACCACCGTCGGACGACAGGCTCAGTTGAAAACAGTGGATTGAGAACTGGGACCAAAAAAAGATGCGTGCAATCACCACAAAACATATCAACAGGGCTGGACATTATAGAGCGCTAGCGATTTGATAAGTAGGCGTCCAGATGCCACCTTAGACATTGCACTCAGATGATCAGTCAGCGTTGAATACAGATTGGTACTACTACTATTACTACTGAACATTTTAGAGGTGAACTGGGGATACGTGGAGCTTTACTAACGGCAGGCGTTCAGGGTGGGATTTTATAGCAGGAAGACAGACGAATTACCTGGACGCTGTTAACTGATCTACTATTCCCGGAGAAAAGTAGACACGAAATCATAAAATACACACGGATTTATGGCCTTTACTTGGAATGGGTTAGTACAGATCAGACGCCTAGAATGCGCTGTGAATGAATTCAATCACTTCGCTTGCGAAGTCATCGGTGGAGGGCAGGTGAAGACACGATAAGTGATGTGTCATTCGGGACCAGGTTGGTCATCGCAATTTACAGACAATCTGCATTTGCATGTTTACACATACATGAACGCAGGCTAAATGTCTACTTTTCGGATCAACTGGCCATCAGGCCCCCTTCGGCCTTCGGATTGTTAAACTCTACAAATTATAAATAGTAGCCACAGGAGCCCATTGATTGGCTTGACCAAACTATAAACAATCAGCGTGCCACCGATCCCATTATCACCGAACAGATTGAATGATGCATTACGGAAGGCAGCGTCTTCGGCCAGTTACTGCAGCTACCCCTAGACAGGTTTGGTGGATAAAAGAGGAAGCGAAGATCACCTGGAACTGCTGCACACTACTTACGTGCACACCATTAAACCAGAACAGGCTCTCATTAGCGGTTGCAAAAATATGATTGAAAGGAGTACAGCAGTTGCCGAAGTTTGGGACACCAAGAGTTACTTTAAATCGAAAATTTATCTCTTAAAAGGTTTATCGATAAAAGTGTCGTAATCAGGGAGGTTGAATACACGCTACGAAAGACCACGGCGTGGCAAGCACGAGTTCTGAACCAAATGAATAATGAAGCTGAAAAATAGCACAGGAAGAATGAAAACCAAACAGTGATTGAAGCAACTACCACACTAAAGAGCCTAGCTCTGGTCATAATAGAGCCACGAAGCAGAAATCTCCGATACTGCACCAACTTATTCAATTACGATTTCCTGATGATAGTAACGAAAAACCCCCAAACGAGTGACGGGTCTATGCAAAAGCTGTGGAATTGTAAAGAACCCTCTTCAGCCATGTCTAACAGTCACTAGGTAGATTAAGGCCATTTGAGTAAACGGATGAGCTGTGGTACAAAATACATGGTGTGAAGTAGGTCGAGGGGGGCTCAATTAACTTGACAAAGCCAACATTGTTACCAGAAAAGGGAAAAGGTAACTCACCTGGGCGTGGGCATCAGCTCTCCACCTGACGGGAACATTTTTGTGTTGGAGAAGATCGTTAAGAACAGACTGCATGTGTGAGCGGGACTGGGGGACTTCGGCCAGCAGGCTGCAGTTTTTAATCTGGTTTCGAATAAATGCCGGAGAGAGAGCATGGCACCGAACCAGGGCAAGACAGTCCATTAGGTTCACCAGGCGACTTGCCTTATCATGGTTCACCCATCTTATCACCGTATTGTATACCTCCGCCTCTGTCCTCACGTGAATTTCGTCTCGCTGAATGAGGTTTATCAGCTGTGTCGACGTAAGCCCTAGTATTTCATCGTGCTTTACAATTTCAGAGAAGTTGCGATCCACAAAAACTTGGGTTTTCCGAGCAAGTGCGAGGCAACCGACCGATGTGGCAAAGTCGTGCAATCCCAGAGCGTTGGAGACGTGCAGCTGGCACTCAAGGAACTGGGCACAAACATTGATCACGGCGGTTATCTGTAGCATTATAGCAGCAGAGAGAATCTCGCAGACATTCTGTTCGCTCACACAAATTTCCCCAGTGTATGCGAACTGTACGAGCCGATTCAAGGCCAGGGGACTGAGATAGTGGAGGCGGATCTCAGGTACACCTTCCTCTTTCATACCAGAGGTAAACATGGCGCGGAAATAGGGAGAAGCCCCCATGAGAACGACACGATGGCAAGCTATCTTAAGCTGATCGACACGGAGTGTCACGTCGGTTAACTTGCCAGACTGGAAAAGGGAATACATTACGCGCATTGAATCACCGAAGAAACCTGGGACGTTGTAGGCAGTTGAACGGATGCTGTCACTCCGATCGGATGGGGTAAAACAAACGAAAGAACCACAACCCGCATCTACCGACTGTCCGCTCACGGTGCCGATTCCAGCGGCCCCAGAGGACGTCGTGGGGATCATTGGGAAGTCTTCCTCAACTTCCCCTGTGCTGTTGTTGGTGGTACTTGTTTTCATCATAGTGCCAATTGAGCAAGTGAGAAAACACTCGGTTGTCTAGCCATTCGGCATTGTCTGATACGGCGAATGCGCCCGAGAGACACTCCTCGGCCTGGAACAAACAAAACGTGATTGAGACAAGTGGTGGCGGTGAAAGCACGCCAATGCGAGATGGCGAGAGGACGAACCGGCCGTTGGATGGCTACAAAGTGTACACGCAATGCGCGCTGTACGCGCGTACCTGGGTTTCTGATGGTGATGGTGATCGAGGCTGCTTTGTTCGCGCACACGAGTGCGATAGATAGGCGTAATCGGCCGTTTAGCACATGTGCAGCTATGCCGACCTGTCTACCTCACGTCTAAGATTCGCACGAAGTAGAAAGGTTGACAGGCCTAATAAACGGCTTAGTGCAAGCAAGGAAGTGCCCGAACGCCTGTCTGTCTCACGCCCTAGACTCGTGTGCACATACACACGCACGAGATGTCTGGGCTGGCGGTCCAGTCATCCACGTCATAATGACGGTTTCAGAGAGGGTGGACATTAGACCACAGGTGTGCATGCTGGTTGTGACTAGCGCGTATGGGCAACAGTTGGCAGAGTGGCTATAGCGAAAGCTACGCACATGCTGTGGGCATACGCTTACTAATATTACACGTAATTGATTGCATGTACATTAGGTTAAGTAGCGGTCAGTTGGCTAGAAGAAAAGGAAAATCTATGCAGCATTTACTCGATTCATCGACAACTAGATAATAAGAAGGCACTGGGGCCAGATCTCCACCTAAGATTCACTCACTAACAGATCAATGGTGTTTTGCTTAGCGATGACATTTAAACAAAATTACACTTAGTGTAATGGGATTCATGTGACCGACCTTTTCTGACATAAAAATAATACTAGACTACACCCCTTGCAAGAGACGTTGAAACTTGTTCGTGGTGACGCAAGCCGGGCGCTTGCTAAACAGACTAAGCCTCACAATCCCTAATCTATAACAAGGATGTACGCGATACTTTTGTCTTTTTCCGCGAGCACTTACTGCATAGGCATATGACTACATTATGGGTGGCAAGGGTACCTTGTCCCTCCGAAAGCCCAATATTTTACAAATAAGAGGAGTAAGTACAAGGTACTATCACTACAAAGAACGAACAGAGCCTTAAAGAGCAAACAACCCAGTACGTAAAATACAGCAAAACAACTCACATGAATGGAGTCAAACTCAAGTACTAGGATTTGTCAGATTATCCAGGAGCCCTTAGAAAACCAAACATAGACACATTTCGGTCAAAGTAAAACCCAACCCACTATATTCATGGTGCACAGGTCAATCGAACAGATCCAGAACTGGTGGTGTTATTCCGAATCCATTATGGGAATGAGATTCTGTGTTGGCGAAATGCCACTCCAAGCAAATGAATATGTGTATACAATCATGATTCTTACTGTTCCAGTAACAAGCGGATTTCATTGGAAATGCATTAAAGAGCTGGTTATTAAACTGGGGAAAACGTGTTCTCCCCGGATTAACACAATTAAAATAAGACTAACGACAGAACAATAGGGGTAGGAATAAATCCTGCTAGTGGAAGCAAAAAACCCTCAAAATTAACAAAAAAACCACCAAACCAGCTAAACGATCAATCATATATCGGGTTTTGTGGAACCTAAACATTACAAACAAGGCCAAATGGCTTTTTACTGGGTACTGGAATGTTCTCCAACAAAATTCGCGTCCCTATCAATACTAAACATATTTATGTTCATAAACGCATGTAGACATGAGATTAGTTCTGCCTAGTAGACAAAGAATACGTGCGCACATGCACATTAGGCAGCGCGTACGCTTAGACATTAACAAACAAGGCAAGTTACGTTTCATCCAGATGGCAGAACTTAAATAAGACGCTGCAACTAGAACTATACAAGCTGAAGTCAATACAAAAATAAGATATGATAAAAAAACCTGTACAGAATGGACAGATATAAAATGCAATGTATTTCCACTTAAATTTACACATTGTTTTTTAACGATAAGTTCCCGTTCGGAACTTGAGGTAAGATGATTAGCACTTACATTGCATATTTTGCATGCAGCAATGGGAAGGTTAGCGTTATAAAACTGATTATTAAAGTGGTAGTATTATAAATTCTATCAAGGCGGTAATTGGTCATAATCATCAAAATATTTTGCAAATATCCAGCCGAAAGAGTCCAAGAGAATAGGTAGAAATGAAAGGAATTTATCCAACAAAATATGGCATAAATTAAAACCTGGAGTGTTAAATGCCAAGAGGGCTAGGTAGGTAAGAGAATCGATTAGGGACCATCCTTCGAGTTAGGATATTATAGTAAAGGACAGCAACTAAGGCAAATCACATGGTAGAATGCTTTTAAAGCAAGGAATTAGTAGATTAACCAGGATGCCTAAATAAAATTTACGACTGAAGTCAGCTGACTTATAATTTAACCAAAATTATATAGAAAGCATCAGTCAACAGGGGTTACTTGTGTTCAATGTCAAAATTTGGAATTCCGAAACTGACACAGTAATAAATAGGGTAATACAGAAGTACGTTTCAATGAATCGGATTGAAGAGTTATAAGAGAAAAATGCGTATTTTGAAATGTGGAAATGCATTAATTGTCTCAACGTTATACTAAATTCCACAAGCCATATTATACTTACGCAGAAAAGTGATGATTTGAGACGAAGCCAAAAAGGGAATGTTTGTAAATTACGCATATCATTAGCACGCAAACAGGTGAAAAAGGAGCGTTAAAAATCAAAATTTTGAAACAAAGTTGATATTGCTAAAACACAGAAAGTATCAACAAAAACAAAACCAGCAAAGCCAGGTAGCAATGCATCATGATCAAAAATCCAAAAGAATGAAAAACAGTATACCATGGATCGTCACAGATTAGCGACCATCATTTGATAACTACGTATTTGCATAAGCAACCTGAATATGCATAAAAATGGAACAAGCAAATGGGAACATACGTGCGTTAAACAAGCCCTTTCTGCAACAACGGTTATGGGCTATAAATACAGTTTTATACCTATTAATATAATTCCATCCAATTAGAATAAGGGTGAAGAGGATTGGATTCGAAATCAATCAAATTTCATGCTAACTTATTTAAGCGTTATCGCATAATCGAAATGGTCTTATTATATCCTATTATCAACCCATGCAGTGCCTAGTTCAATACCTGTTAGGCCATATATTAAGCACAATGTTTTAATTGAAGACTTGTCGCATCCAAGCCTAACTTTTTCAATATAAATTATTAGCAATAATACCAATATCTATTATACGCTGTGGGACTTAAAAAATGACACATTCAAACTTGTGAAATTGTCCCTACCGTCTATTTGCCTGGTAGGTGGAAATTTATAACCTTGTCTCGATAATCGGATTGGTCCATTTTTCGAACGAAAATATTTAATTGTGAGCGTGAGCTCGATTTTGACTTGGTCTCACTTAAATCTTGTTTTACATGAAAGAAAACATTGCAAAGTGTAGTCTTTAGGTTTAGTCACTAAAAATACTTCAAGCGGGCTTGAGATTGAGATTCTCTGTTGATGAAATGCCATTTCAACTAAAAGTATAAATTAGCACTGCAAACACTTCAGGCAGATTTATGGGAATAAGGTTCTATGTTTGCGAAATATTGCCTACAGAAAATGACGTTAGTATATTATCAAAAGGGCCACCTTAATGAGATGTAATCAAAATGCTTCACAGTGGCACTTAATAGGTATAACTGAACACTTACACTTAACATATTTTGACTTCGCTTCACGAAGTGACATTGATTAAGAAGTAAAATTTTGAGCTCACCTAAGTCAGCTGAAGCCTTATCAATCTAAAGGGCAGCGCTATTCCTGTAGCAATAAATTAGTTAAGTACTGCATGATCTGCAGAATTATTCCTTCCTATTTGGGCCATTTTCCATTTCGGTCGTCAAGGCTTCTTAACAATAGACTGATTCTAGAAGTGGTTATTTTCATACCTGCTGACATGTGAGGCACTATGATTTTTTTTAAGCTGACCTTGGTTTTTTAGGTCAACGTTAATCTTAATTAACACTAACTTTGCTCTCCAAATCCTCTGCAGGCTCTCTCCTGATATTCATCCAACTTCAAGCCTTAATTATTTCTTATCTCAAATCTATAACTTTGACTTACTCTTAACCAAGTCTCTGCTAACTTGCCCCGGTTTTAGACTGACTGTAGTGGAAAATCGCCACAGACTTTAATTAAAACAAGCAGACATTTTAACGTCTTGTTGCAAGTAATGGGTGGGCCATCAAAATAAACAACTGACTCTTTCATTTCCCAAAAATACCCAATTACCTTATCCATGCGTCTTTAATCAAATTTTTTTAAATTTATATTTGCTAGAGGTGATTATCTGTCACCTTGAGTATGAAATTTATAGCCAATTTGAAATGATTGCATGCATAGTCTAGCAGCACACGTCATGGGAAATCGCTATAACACTTGCCTGTCTCGCCACAACTCAATAATCTCGATTGGCCTGCTCTGACTCCAATTGTTGATCTCCTTTAACACTATCAACGATTACACATCGTACTTCTGACCTTTCAGTTTTAAAGAATTCAATGATTCGTTGACTCATTTTTCACGCTTCAATTCCCGAAACAACTGCTGATTCGTTGCACAATTATTTGTCAAGCATATACCACCTACTGTATCCGAGCTACGTCTTGGCGACGCAGGTGAGATGGGCGATGAAAAGATGAAGTGTTTATTCTGGAAGATCGTTATAGTTCTCAGAAATCCTGAAAATCACCTATGGCTTATGAAGTAGAGCAGTGTTTGAATCCTGACATCGGCGTTACGAAAACCTGTTCGGAGTCGACCTCGCGTCATAGAACGACGCGGGGAAGGTCAGGCTCCTTATTCGTAAACTGGGTCAGACATAACTG